TTCCTGAGTCCTACAACTACCTCATTGTGGCATTGGAATCTATGAATATGAAAGGCCTTACCATGAATTATGTCATGTCAAGATTTGGCCATGAGGTGACTAAGAAGAAAAAAAAAAAACTTCAAAGTGATGATTCAATACTATTTTTAAGACAAAGTGAAGGTAGTTATTCTCATCAATATGATAATTCAAAAAAAATATGAAAATTTATTATATTTATAGAAAATCAAGTAACTTAGCTAAAAATTGCTACAAAGCCAAGAAAGAATGCAAACAATGCTTGTGATAACTTTGATGGAGATAGCTATGCTTTTATGGCAAGTGAAAGAGCCTCCATGGTTGCTATATCTAAGTAGATTATAGATTTGGATGCTATTAAGCACATGATACTATATAAATGTTTATTTGACACTTATGAAGAAATTTCAGCAACCAAAGTTTGGTTGGAAGACAATGGCATGGTACAAGCTATTAGAATTGGATCCATTGTTGTAGAAATTGTCATGAAGAACCAAATCAAGAGGATTAGATTGAAGGAAGTCTTATATGTGCCAAAGATGAAGAAGAACCTCTTTTTGATGAATAAACTTATATTATATGGTTGTAAGATTCAATTTGATAAAAATAGATGTTTTGTGAAGACATTAAGTGCACAACATGTTGTCAAAGGCCTTAGAAATAGCAACCTCTACTTCATCAATTTTAAGAAGGTGAATAGAATAGAAATGACAACATTTGAAAATTTTCCACAACATCAAGACAAGTTTGAATTCTAGCATCAACGACTTAGTCATTTGAATGCCAAAAGCATGAAGGAGCTCCAATCCATGGTAAGTAACTTGGATCTTGGTCAATTCAACCACAATGCCTTGACACTTGCTTATGAAGGATGTATACAAGGCAAATAACAAAAGGCTTCATTTCCAAGAGGAGTTACAATACATATTACCAAATTATTCGAAATCATGTATTTTGATGTTTGTGGACCAATGAAGATACCATCAATTAGAAGAACAAAATACTTTGTCACATTTATTGATGATTTTTCAAAAAAAAATGTGGATTTATATCATTAAAGTCAAGAATGAATTTTTCTCAAGGTTTAAGGAATTTAAGGCTCTTCTAAAGAAACAATGTAAATACAAGCTCAAACTGTTGTGCATGGATAATAGAGGTGAGTATATGTCAAAATATATTGATAAATTCTTAAGATTCAAGGTTTTGCAAGACAATCCTCTACTTCCTACATTCTATAATAAAATGGAATTGTTGAAAGAGCAAATCATATCATTGTTGAGATAGCAAGGAATATGCTTCATGTACAAAATCTTGGGCATGAGTATTAGATAGAAGCTATGGTAAATATGGCATATATAAGGAATAGGTGTCCAACAAGTGCACTCACATCAATGACTCTACAAGAAGCTTGAAGTGGCAAAAAACCTTATGTTTTATACATGAGGATTTTTAGATATATTGCTTATACAAAAATACCAGATTGTATAAAATCTAAACTTGATGCAAAAGGTACAAAATATTTATTTGTTGGATATTGTGAAGATACCAAGGCATATAGGCGAATGTGTTTAAAAACCAAGAAGATCATTAAGAATCATGATGTAAAATTTTTGAAGTATAAAAATGCTTATGAGTACTTGGAAATGTGTCCAAGTGAGAGTAACGTTTTGTTTGTGGATACATCTTAAATTTTAGTAAAGAAAGAAGAAAAAGATGATGACATTGATGATGGTAAAAATTCAAATCAAGCTAAAGAGCCAGAAAAAGGTAGACCATAGTATGCCTATAATTGCTAAAACTAACAATGAAGATTATCAAGATGTTAAAGATGATGATGATGATGAGGAGTACCAACCTTTGAATGTGCAGAAGCAATTTTTGAAGAGAGAAGAAGCTTAAAAAAAACTAAAGAATAAAAGAATGTGAAGTTTCATCAAGTGAAAGAAGATATCATTTGAGAGATAGAAAACAACTTGGTGCATAATAGAAGAATCACATCTTTTCTCAAATAAGTAAAGAACATGTCAATGTTGCATTCCTTGCTAATCCATTGAGTTTGTGTGATACAATGAAGTCTATGGATGCTATGAAGTGGGAGAATGCCATAGAAGAAGAATATAAATTGCTCATGGACAATGAAACATGGGAATTGACTCAACTTCTACCAAATCAAACTTCAATTGGTTGTATGCGGGTATTTAGAACCAAAAGAGATATAATAGACAATGTTGTGAGATACAAGTCTAGATTGGTTGCCAAAGGCCATTCATAAGTTGCTAATATTGATTTCAATGAGACATTTATTCTCATGGCTAAATTCACCACCATTAGAACTATTATTGCAATTGGAGCAACAATGGACTTTGAGATATATCAAATGGATGTGAAGATGGCTTTTTTGAATGGAAATTTAAAAAAAAGACATTTGTATGGATAAATCTCAAGGATTTATAAAAGAAAAAAATAACAGCTTATTTGTAAGTTGAAGAAAGCTTTGTATGGGTTCAAGCAATCTCCAAAGACATGGTACCAACGTATTGATTCATTTTTAATGAATGAAGGATTTTTAAAGAGTGAATTTGATCATTCCTTGTATGTGATGCAATCAAGTGACTTCATATTGATTGTCATCTTCTATATTGATAATTTGATCATCTTAATCAATACTATAAAAATGATGGTTTAATTGAAGGTAAAATTAAAAAATAAGTATGAGATTAGTGATTTGAAAGAGCTTGACTATTATTTAGAAGTGGAGTTTATGAGAGATCATGATAAAAAGACCATTAAAATGAGCCAAAGCAAGTATATTAAAGAAATATTAAAATAATTTAATGTAGAAGAGTATAAGCCTATTATAACACTTTTGGAAGCCAATTTGAAGTTGATAAAGCTCATAGATGAAGAATTTATTGAAGTTGAAGGTCAAATACAAGGTATTCTATACAATGCAATAGTGGATTTACAATTGTATGTAATAGTTGGCACAAAGATGGATGCTGCATATGCAGTGAGTGTTATGAGTCAACACATGTTAAAGGCTAGAGCAATCCATTGGACAACCATTAAAAGAATCATGAGGCACTTAAAAGGTACTTTATATTTCAAATTCTATCTTAGAGGTGATAACATTAGTTTGTATAGTTATTGTGATGCGGATTAGACTAGAGATGCAAATGATAGAAGATTAATAACATGATATATATATTCTTTATTGGAGTAGGAGCTATCTAATGGAATTACAAGAAACAATCAATAATTACAAGATTAACAATAGAGATAGAGTATATGGCAATAAGCCATGGTTCAATAGAGAAATATGGCTAAGACAACTTCTAAATGACATTGGAGTATTGTAAATGATAGCAACTCTAATGAAGTGTGACAAACAAAGATATCTTATATTTTTAAAGAATCCAAAGCATCATTTAACGACCATATACATTGACATTCAACATCACTTCATAAGAAAGAAGATTGAAATGAGAGTGATTGATATGAAATATTATGCAACAAAAGACATGTTTATTGATTTATTGAGAAAAGCACTAGTAAAGAATAGACATCACATATTAACAAAGGCATTAGAATTGAAAGTCTTTGATTAATAGCAAAGTGGGAGTATTAAAATATATAAATAAATATAAAAATAAAATAAGTAATATTGTAGAAGATATTACTTTAGATAAATTTCTATTAATTAAAGGATTGGCTCTTGATATATAAGAAGGAAAAGAGAAAAAATAAATGAATAGACCAATGATCTTAAGAATATAGAGAATATGCTAAAGATATATTTTTATAGTAGATAAAATACTAATGAATAGTCTCAATAGAATGTTAGATAGATGTATTCATCAAAGGATGGAATTTTTTCATTAGTACAACAACCACCACCTATAACAGGTGTTGGAAGTAAGAGATATCTTACTCCATATTCTCTTTGTGTGCAATCTTGCTGATACTAAGTATTATGACTTCATTTTATTTGTTCTTCAACATTTATCAAATTGTCAATCAATTAAAAAAATCTACAATAATATTCTTGACTATGAATTGTGAAATATTACCTATGACTAATATATGTGTTGATGAATTAAATTTTCTTATTAAAAAAAATCATTCAATCAATTAAAAAAAGATGGAACTTCTATCTATAAACTTTGTTTCTTTTTATGGTTTCAAAAAATCACATTATCTCTCTAAGTAAATTTTTAAACATAATATATATATATATATTATTTTTTAAACCTAAAAGTTGGAACTCTTATCATGACAATATAATGCTCAATATGCAATTTCTATAATATAATATATTTTATTAAAAATATATTATATTAAATAATATTATTATTTTTTAATTTAATAATACTTATTATAAAACCTTATGATAAATGGTGCCTTACCACTTTACTATCTCATGATAAATATTATGGCTATATTAAGAATTTTGTTTATTAAAAATATCCAAAGATAAATTTTTATTTTCTATACCTTAATCAAATAATTAAACCTAAAATAAAATAAAATAAAAATATATTATTATCTAAATTAAAATAAGAGATTTTTTTTTTAGGTTCATCTATCTACACATCCATTCAAATCATATTACTTTTTATTACACCTAGATGATTAATAATAATATGATATTCCAAAAATAAAGCACGGAAATTGAATTATATATATGTATATATATATATGTGTGTGTGTGTGTGTAGTTGTGTAAATTAGAACTTAAAGAAAAAAAACAAAAACAGGTCGAAATTCGATTGGCACCAGGCACGTAATTAAGGAACCAGTTCAGACGTGCCCCCGAAGACCGTGGATAGTCCGTGGTCGAAGACCGGGCACCAAAGACTCCCTACGACCATCGATGCACGGTCAAAAGCGGCGATGGAGCGTTGGACCCTAAACCCGGTCCCTACCTGAAGCTGTGCCGTGCTCCGCTGGGTGCCCACCAGGCTGCCAAGGCTCGGCATCTATGCACACACACAACAGGATTTTGCAGGAATCGTGGGGCATGACATCGTGTCTTGGTTTCCATGTCCTGCTCTGCCATCCCATGTCGTAGAATCCTGAAACAATTCTGTGCATCTCTCTCTCTGATACGTTCGTAGAGTGGCGCTCTCTCTTTCTCTCTCTTGTCTGTCCCAGCTTCAATCACTTCCTGTTGTGGTATATTCGTGGAAACTTCATCTGTGCTTGAATCTCGGCTCTGATTCTGCAATTCTGAGTTTCCTCTTGGGTGGTTCATGAATTTTGTGATTGCATAAGTTGTCGTGTTGGATTTGGGTGCAGTGAATTGAGGGCGATCGTGCGGGGTTGAGGCACAGTGGTGAGAGTTTTGCGTTTTTCTTATTAATCTCCAATGTAGCGTGGGGTTTGGTAGGAGAATTGAAGTGCACTTGGTTTGATCCGGGGGGGGGGGGGGGTGTTTAAGAGTGCACAGAGACGATGGTTTTGATGGTTTTTATGTTGCAAATTGGCTCAGGGGACGAAGGGGACTGGGTTTGCTGAAGAGGTTTAGACGAAAGGGGGAGGGATCAGAGGTTAAACCTTGGCGGGGGAAAGAGATGACGGGTGGCGTGAAGAGTTTGAACTCAAAGAGCGAATTGGACGCTGCAGTAAAGAGTGGCGTGTCGGTGCTACACTTTTGGGCTTCATGGTGTGAGCCCTCCAAAGCTATGGAGCCTGTGCTTGCTCAGCTCGCTGTCGACTGTCCTCAAGCTCACTTCTTTCGAGTACCTTCCTTGCCCTCCACCTTTTTCTTGCGTCAATTGTGTGCCCTTTTTCGAGCCAATCTGCTATTTTAACAAATACGGTAATGTTTCTTTCTAATTGTCGTCCTAATTTCTGTACAGTCTGTCCCACTTTTTGTTTTATGTAATTGTTTGTCCCAGTTTGTCTACATGCTGAATTCATTTCATGAATTTCTTACCATCCATTCATGCTTCTTCAACCCTAGTTCTCGCCTGTACGTCATCCATCTTCTTCCCGTTTCTGAACATGCATTTCAGTGTAAATGCAAGATGAATTGTAGATGAAATACTATTTCTTTTTTTCTTTTTTTCTTTTTCTTTTTTTACTTCTGAGTTGCAATTGTAAGCATGCTTCATTTCTTATTAGCTCGTCGTCATTGCAATTGCTTCACAAATACATGGGATCATAGATCAACCTTCACACATCACCTTAAATGAACTTCTAGGGTATGGACAGTTCAAGATCAAATCTAATGATTCTTCTTCAGTAACAGAGCTAGTCGTGTGTGGATGTGTGGGATCAAGTGGCACTGTGCAATAACATTTATGCGGTCGGGCATGCTAAAATGGATCGTTTTTAATAATTTTCCAAAACAGGTGGAGGCTGAGGAGCAGGCGGACATCTCAGATGCTTACGATGTCGGTGCGGTTCCCTATTTCCTGTTTATGAAGGTAATGGGATAATGTAACCCAGTTCACAAAGGAGGCATTCTGTCTCATATTTGCTGGCATCTTGTGTTATTTGATAATCTTCCTACGTTTGACTACTTTGATGGTGTGTAAGCTTAGATTTAGTACGGATCTTTCTGAGTTACCATTTCATGGCATTCATATATTTCTGATTCTTATCCTTACTCTTCTGGGATTACTAGGACGGCACGGTGGTTGACAAGCTACAAGGTGCAGATGCCCCTGAACTGGCCAATAAAGTAGCCAAGTGGGCAGGCGATAATACATCTGTATCAGAAGCTGTTCCAGCAAGCTTAGGACTAGCGGCTGGGTCGAACGTGATCGAAGCAGTCAAGAAAGACCTGGCTCCACATGTTTCCTCTGAGACATCTGGTAACAGTGCTGCAGCTGGGAGCCTTACCGAGTTTGAGAAAGGATCGCTTTTGAAATTGATCAATTCCAACCCCATCATGCTATTCATGAAGGGTACGCCAGAGGCACCGCGCTGTGGATTCAGCCGAAAGGTGGTGAACGCTTTGGTTGCGGAAGGTTTACAGTTTGGCAGCTTTGACATCTTAACGGATGATATTGTGAGGCAAGGCTTGAAAACTTACTCCAATTGGCCAACATATCCTCAGCTTTATGTGAAGGGAGAGCTCCTCGGTGGATGTGATATTATTCTCGAAATGAAGGAAAATGGAGAGCTTAAAGAGGTTAGTGTCTTCTTCTATATCCGCTCTTTTATGTTATGTTCAACGTGTTGCATTGTCTTTGTTGTGTTTTGTGATAGTTGCCTCTTCTCAACACTCGAAGCTGGTTCTAATATCAGTGTCCTAATATTTGGAACTTCAATAATTGGTGTCAGGTACTGGAGGAGAAGGGTGTCTTGCCAGCCCACTCGGAGCATCGTTCTTCTGAAGCGGCAGGAGAAGTGGTTACTGAACCTGCTGTTCATGAAGAGAAGACTACTTCGGAAGCAGTTGTCAGTACTTTGCCTGATCAACCGACTGAAGAAAGTGCAGGTGGGAGTAATATACAGTCCAGACTAGAGCAACTTACAAAGGAACATCCAATCATGTTGTTTATGAAGGGAAACCCAAGTGAGCCTCGCTGTAAGTTCAGCCGAAAGGTTGTGCAGGCACTTAACGAAGCAGGCTTAGAATTTGGTAGTTTCGATATATTGAGTGATGAGACTGTCAGGCAAGGCCTCAAGGAGTACTCTAACTGGCCCACGTATCCTCAGCTGTATGTGAAGGGCGAGTTTATTGGTGGATGTGATATTGTTCTGGAAATGCAAAAAAATGGGGAGCTAAATGAGGTCCTTCAGAATGCTTGAGGGACCTCTGACTGACTGACTGACTGGTGCCTTTCAATCTTTCTGATAATCGAAGCCCTGCCTCGAATAACAGTCGATCGTTGTTTTGGTTACACTTTTCAGTTCCAGTTTTTTCAACTACAATAATAAATGTGAAGCATTGAGTCACTTTTGCCTGTCTTTATATTTTCCTTGTCTGTTCCTCCTTGTTATATCGAACTTGATACAACAGCATGCTTGAAAGAATCTCTTATCCATCAGAACATAACATTTACAGGTCCTGGCAAAGAAAATCTTTGGCCTGTTGAAAGAGAACTTGGTGTCACGTATCAAGAAGTCGTGGAGATGTCGTGCGTGAAAGACACAATCATTTTGTACCTTCTTTTTCTGTCCTTTTTGTCTCTGTCTATTCTCCATTCTCTCTGCTAACAGTGCATGGTATTTCGCATGTCCATGTCTTCAATATGGAAAGAAACGGTTGTGGTACGCTTGAGTGTATCATCAGACTGAGACGTAAAACTTACAAAGCTAACCGTTCTGCAAATTTCCTATGCTTGTGGCTTGAATTAGATAATCCCCGTAACTGCCTCGGAAGTTTTCCAAGTCAAATTCTACTGATTTAATTCATTGACGTGGTCTCATGACTTGGAAAAATCTCTGCCTCCAGGATTAAAGTCTAGGCTCCTGTAGGGTAGGATTGGATGGGGTTGAGGAGATTGTAGCTTTTTCTACTTGCATTTGTGCTAGCTAGCTAGCGATCTACCTACCTCACGCTCTCTCTCTCCACAGATAGAAATATTTATTTATTCATATATATAAGGTGAAGAGGAGCTGTTGTTGGCCACATTGGGCAAGTGGGTTTCATACTTTATTCTTTTGTGTGCGTGTTTTTTCTTTTTTCTTTTTCTTTTTGCAACTGGGGAAGCGAGATATGTGAGAGAGTGAGGACAGTGCCAGTTTTTTACTACATGGCCAATTCTATCATGCTCCAGTTAGTTAGCAATATCAATGTCATTTCCTGATACTTGTCCTGGTCTGCAGTGGATTCTGGGTACGTTCTCGGAAGAGTACCTTCCCCGGACTTGGAGAAACCCCAGTTCCCCACACCCCCACTCCTCCAGATGCTTGATAATAATTAAAATGAATAATTAAAAAAAAAACAAATATCAATACTTGTGAATGCCTCGTAGATTTTGATTTTAAAACTTCATAGTTTATTGATGGATTGAAGGTTACATGTTCATGTTTGCACAAACAGTTAATAAGGTCAAATATTTTATTATCACATGTTTGTAAGAATTTAGCTTTCCTGCAAGGAATAAGGAGATTTGTCAAAATAAATAAAATTAATTCTTTGATTTTAACTTCTGTAGTGAATCAAGATATTTTTACCACCACTTTATTATGTTATTTTTTGCAAACAGAATCCTTTTTTATTGCACCTTATAGAACTAGAAATTTCATTAACCATTTTGTAACATATTAAAATTGCTATTAACCACATTTTAAATGTGTGTCTACAAACATTTTGTGAAATAACTCAGTTACAACTAAGTCTATTTTAGGGTTAAATATTGGTGATTAGCAGAATGTTTTGGTGGGTCCTTTGGTATATGGAATCTATGTTAACTTTGGCTTGAAATTTAACAAACGATATAAATATAAGCAATTAATATGTTCTGGCTAACTAAAAAAAAGCATTTGTGAAGGTATCTGCAAAACAAAAAATATTGCGCTTGTTCATTATTGTATCATTTTTCTATGTTTATCAATGTTAAGTACAAAGTGTGTGGTATATTGGACCTACCAAAGGTTCAATTCCAGCGCTTGCAAAGAATTTAAGTCGAATACTAATAAAAAAAATAATAAATAGTCCTTGTTCATGACATTTTTATAGCAATTGTAACCTTATATAAAGACAAAAGGAATGTCAGGGAGGGTGGGGAACACTCACCCTAACTTATATATAACTTATACAAATGAAATGTTAATTGGAAATATTTTCAATCAAATATATATATATATATATATATATATATATAATCGTTCTATGATATTTTAGATTTTAAAACACATTACCAGAAACAAATAAAACTACAAGTATGTAGCAAATACACATGATTTCTTATTACACAAACAACAAAATTTAAAATTAATTATAAATTTAGACAGTGTTTTCGATCTTTTAAAATTATTGATACTTGAAAAAAGTAAGAATATTTTTCTTAATTCCTAACGTCATTGATTCTTATATATAAGTATGATACTTTTTAAAATTATATTTTAAAATTTATTTTCGGTGAAGACTTGGCTGCACTGGTCCCTTGAGCAAAGGAGGGTGGGATTTAAACCGATGTGGTCCATTTAGAATGCGCCACGAGGATAGACAACGTGGCAGAATGCCGCAAAGGAGAGTCCACGTGGACCCACCACATACTTCCACATCCATCCATTATTTGGATGCAAAACTTCAAACTCATACATTCCCCGTTATAGCCGCATTCATCCTCACGCCTCCACTCCCACGGACTCTGCCCCTTCAAACCAGGGCAACGAGGAGAAAGGAAAGCAAATAAAAAAAAAAAGCATTGCAAACCCTATTCTCTGCATTGTTCCTTTCGGCTTCTTCTTCTTCAATATCATAATTCTTTTCTATTATTATCAGTCTTCCTCAAAGAAACTAACTAGAAGACTCACACGTCACCAACAGAATCCGAGCTGGCACTTTCATCCGTTCATGTTTCACCACGTGGACGTATTAAGTGTGGATGAATGAAGATGTGGGAGGGGACACCTTTCCGAGGACATCCACTCCAGCAAAGGGAACAACAGACAATGAGGTGGATGAAGAGCGCGATATTAGATGAAATATGTGTGGTTATAGGCGCCGGAGGGGTGCGCTACATTCATCAGGAGGGTCATGGGCAGTGACCAAGTGATGAGCCAAAAAGTAAAAGGAAGGCCCACCACCACCACCACAAGAGCACGGTAATGCATGGGGGGCCCCTTTCCCGTCTCCCTCCCTACCACCCATCTATTTATCTCTGTGTCATGGTTCCCATGTCCTCCAAAATATAGCTCTCCCTCCACCTGGGGATTCTAGAAGCTTCTCTCACCACCCAAAAAACAAACTTTAATGCAATAATACCCCTCCTCCATTTCCCATCACTTGATATTCCATATGTTTTGATAAAAAAGGAAAAAAGGATTAAAATGAAGGAGCAGTAATAGTCTTAACACCAAACACCATCTTAATATCATTCAGGTGTTTGGGTTTAGTCTTCTGAAATGCACATCCACAAAACTATACATTGATGCAGTTGGTGTGGTATTGGAGGTACTACTACTACTACTGTACCTACTAAAGTTGTTAAAAGTATACAAGCCTGGAATCAAATATATTTGAAGTCATTAAATATGTGTGTGTGTGTGTGTGTGTGTGTATATATATATATGTCATTTTGAACATACTACTTCAATTTTTATCACAGTAGAAACAGATTATTCTCATCTTCCTGTTTAGCCTCGAAAATTAATTTGAAAGAGCAACACACATATTTTTTGACCACTACCTTCACACAATAAAACAAAATGAAATGCACATGATTCACTCAACATTTATTTGGTTTGGATCGATTTTTCTTTTTTATCTTTTTCTTCTTTTGTGTGAAGGTGATGAGAAAAATTACATTTTTTAATCTTAAATATGGCTCAAGAATACAGGAGGGATATTTTAGAATATTATTGGAATAGTAAAAAAATATATACAATCTATAAAACTTGATAAATAATATAGTGATAATAATAATAATAAGTTTATTTTACTTTGAATAATAAATAATATTGATTGGTTGAATTATTTGTGGTTTTACCATTTAGATTATTATTAGATCTTTAAAAAATAACCAACAAATACTACTAACTTATTTGTCTATCTTACTTTTTCAAAAACATACAATATTCAAAACATTTGTACGTGTTTTAGTATGCAAATTATTATTAAAGCTACAAAAAGAAATATTACTGGTATCTTACGTATCTCGTTGTTCCTTGTTGCTTCATTTTTTGTAATAAAATATCACTGATCATGGTTTTAACCAATGCAATTGACAAATTGTGGTAGAATTGCACAGGTTGTTTTCAAGCATACAATTACCAAATTAGGAAATTTTATTTCAGGTCAAAGAAATCCCATTTTTTTATTTACTTAACAGTTTTAGTAATATGAAAAATCTAATATCAAGTCAATTAATATTTATCCTTTATTTACAGTCTTTGAATAATTTGTGAGGTTAATCCTAACTTATTTGGTATATTAACTTAAAGTCCATTGATGATTATTAAAACTGTCATTTTGAACAATTAGATCCAATTTGAAAACAAAATTTATAATATCTACCGTCACTACAACAACCACTGATATTTTTACTTTCTCAATCAAAACATGGAAACATGTCAATGCAATATTGTACCACATAGTTTATTTTGATTGATATGAAATTACAAAGCTACATCTTTTAATATGCAATACCTTGTATAAACAGCATTTATGAATACGTCTCAGTGATTTTAAAATATATACAGGTTTCACAATTTGTATTTATTTTTATTTTTTAAAAATCTTACATTATATATGGGAATTATATATTTAAAATATATTATTACTAACTTTTTTCCATCAAGATTGAAATATTTCGGATTGAGATATCAATTCGAGATAAATGATAAAGTTTTAATAATACCTTGAATAAAATCAACCAAACAATGTTCTGAATGTAATATAGACATTTCATTACTATTTCAAAAATTATATATATATATATATATATATATATATATATATATATATGTTGTCATTTTTATAACTCATGTAAATTACATTGTGTTATTTACACACTAATACTACAGATTTCACTTAAAACTACTCTGATACTATTAATTTTGAGTATTAAGAATTTAAATTCCAGTTATTTTACTTGAGGCAAGAAGTTCATATCAAAAAATGAATAAGAATACACACCAACTTTTCAAATGTCGTAGTAACATGGTGCAATTTTTTCCTGTGATATCAAATGTAGAATTTGGCGGTTTGTGTAAAATTCAAAACTTCAAGGTATCATTACTATTTATTGAATAACACATTGTACAATTATATTTCAGATTTTTGAAGTGATACAGCTGTGGTTGTTTATTTATTTTTATTTTATTTTTCAGAAGAGACAAATCGATAATTTATTTGTTCTATTCTAACGAGTGTTTTAATAGTTCAAGCTTTGTAAATAAAATAGCTACTTTATTTTTGCAAAGCTTGTCATCCACGCTTCCCAAATCACAGTTGTGAATGTTGGCCAAGCTAAACAATACTAAATTTAAATTCACACTATCCATAATTATGTACAACTAGTACTAAAAACCTTGGCATTAGATATTTTTAGAGAAAATTAAGTATATGTTGTTCATTTGGAGTCGGTTAGAAGCTATTCATATCATACCTCTTACTAAAGAAAACAATGTATATAGACTAAATTGCACAGTGACATTAACGTTAAATATATGAACTTAATTATAAATAGAAAACAAAATACCAACGTAACATTCAAAATATTTTTCAGCATGTAAAAAAGTTCAATGGCAACCCACTATAAGAGGACTATTGTATAAAATTTTTATACACTGAAAAGATAACCTTTGTGTATACATTTTTGGGGTGTACTCAAAAACATAAACAAAAATATTTTTCCTTTTTTTCTTCTGTTTGTTCACAACAAATTCTTCCTAAAATTTGGAAGGTTTAGCAACGTTGCACTACTTGTTGTGTGTGTGTGTGTGTGTTGATTCAATGGTGAACAAATTTTGCCTTCCAAGGAGGATGATTCAAGCCTAGCTTGTTGCCTCATCAAGCGGGGAACAGCATGGGGAACAGCATGGGGAACAGAGGAAGGCAGGCGGCGAAATCCGGCAGAGAGAGAGAGGAGAGGAGAGGATGGAGTAGAATAAAAGGAAAAGGATTCCAGGAATCCAGAATGAAAGAAAGAGGTTCGTTTAGAAAATCAAGGGGTTCTGGATCGAGGCGAAATCGCGGTGCCATGTCATCACTGTAAAGGAAGGAAGGAAGGGCGAATCCCCACGGAACCGGGTGTAAGTGATTCTCGGAGTCCAGGGTGGCGGGGAGGAGGAGGAGGAGGCACCCTAAGCCCGTGAGCAATGGGAAGGGGGGGCTTGCACCCGACATGGGGGGGGGGTTTTGGGGGCTGGATTTGTCGTGTAGGGCGGTGCCACGGCGGATTCAGCGGGAGTCCCGTCCCCGCCCCCATCTTGTCTCCTCATGCGCACCTTCCAAACCGGATTCAGACGGGAACCTGCGGGAAATCCGGGACGGACGGAGGAGGACGTGAATGATTGATTCTATCTATCTATCTATTTATCTATCTGTCTACCCCCCTTCCCCCTCTTTGTTGCTGTTGCTGCAGCGTCGGATCCACGGGACCCGCCACCTCGAAGGAAAGGAAGGAATGAAGTTCAATGGCGCGGCGGTGATCAGTCATGGCCAGTTCATTGCGTAGTGGGGGAGCGAGGTGGTGTTGTCCAAAAGATGGATGGAGACAAAAGGAATTTTTTATTTGTGGGTGGAGTGGTGGGAGGGGGAAAAACAAAAACACAAACAGAAAACAAACAAACAAGCAGACGAAAGCCGAAAGTGGGCAACGAGCAAGGCAAATGGGCCGACGCAGAACCAAAGCAAGCGAGCGCAGGGTATTTCTCTGGAAACGAGAAGAGGGGAAAAAAGAAAAAGAAAAAGAAAAAGAAGGCAGACCCAAAAAAACCCACAACAATAGAACAAGTGAAAGTGGGCGGGGGAGGAGGGTCAGGGAGAGAGAGAGAGCGGGGGAAAGGGCATGATGACACAGCGAGAGCGAGAGAGCTAAGCTTTAAGATTTATTGAAGATTTGCATGAGAGTGGTGAATGGGCGGTGCTTTGGCGTGATTCTCGATGGATCCATTTGCAACTCGAATAATAATGTGAATGATATCCACTTCTCGAGTGACGTGCAGGTGGGGTGGGTTGCTCACCAAGTTTGAAAGAGTTCACCTTGCTTGGAGGCAGGGCAGGGCAGGGAAGGAAGGAGGAGTGTGTGGAAGGTCAGGGTGTGTGTGTGAGTGAGTGAATGTGAGCGAGAGAGAGAGAGAGAGTGGTGGTAGCTGGCCGATGAGATTGGTTGCGGTGGGAGAAGGATTTGCAGGGCGGGAGTGGTGGTTGGAGAGGCGAGAAGTGTGATTGATGACGAGAGTTGGGGGGAATTGGGTGACGTGGTGGATTGGTCGGTAAGGGGGAAAGGGAGCGAGGGGGAAAGAGAGAGAGAGAGAGAGGGAGGGAGAAGTGCGCAATTGGGTGAGGAGTGTAGAGGATGTGAGGAGGAAGAGTTGGAGACATGCAGAGCATTTTCTCTGGCTCCGGTGCGGTTGCAAGAAGTAGCTCTCGGCGGAGCGCCATGACGTGGAGTAGGATTGCGGGGAACTTGCAGGCGCTGGCCGCGCACAGCTTTCTCCTATGCTTCACGTGCCTGATTATTGTCAAGGTCACTTCGTATTTCTACATTTCTTGGTGGTATGTTAACGAGTCTCCGCCGCCCTTGCCCTATTCTGCCATCTTTGGAAATTTTGATTCTGCGCGCGTTGGGAGAGATGTTTCCTGGATTCTTTGTGGGTTCAGTCAATCGAATTTTAGGTCTCGGTCCTTTTCTTCTTGTAGACGTCCTCTCGTTAGTTGTCGCTTGAATTTCGTTAGGTTTTTCAAGTATTTCGATTTCAATCGTGGACAGAATTGTGAGATTACGTTTGATTTTGTCGAAATAGGATCACTACAAATTCAAACATGTGGAGACAGTAATTTAGAACTCTGTGATCACTCCAATCTGAGATCGCTTCTAGAAATGTCGTGCTCAGAAAGCATTCGTCATTTGTTTACTTTCAGCTTCTCCGTTGTATGAGTCCGTTCAGTCGTTCAGAGAAACTTGTAGCCCTGAGAGTATTAGAGCCAACCAAGTGACGATCCTAATTAGGCGTTATCAAGATTGCCGGTTTGAATGATGTTAAAATGAGTTGAGAGTAAGATACTCCGTGTAGGGTAACGAGACCTATATCGGAGGTCAAGCATGCAGACTTGGACTTTGTTCTTTGTAAGGGGTCTATGGTTTTAGGGGTAGGGTTGACCACCTCAATTGGTCGTCTCATATCATTTACAAATCCTTTCGAGAGCCGGTCATGGTATACGGATTGCCGCTAATGGCGAACCCATTTGATTTGGCGAAGTTTGTCGAAGATCTGATTTTCTTCAATCCCATTTGTGCTGGAGCAGGTTGATAATTTGCTGAAGTGGTTCTTGACGTAGTTGTTACCATGGAAATTGCGGGTTGCATGAGTAAGGATGGAGACTAACTCTTTATGCAAATGGCAGGTGGGTGTTTGTCCCACTGTGGATGTTCCATGGAATTGTTGCGCGAGGCCGGTTTTCTCTACCTGCTCCTACACCTCCGCACGATCGACGTGTACGTTGCACGCGGCCAATGATTTTCACTACCTTTGAAAGATGTCATTAGTCTACAGGCAAAGGAGCGGCTTCTGGTTTATTTATTTATTTATGTGTTTTCCTCCTAACTTTTCTGAACTATTCAGTACAATTTTTATTTATTTTATTTATTTTTTATACGTAGTTGAAAAGAATTTAAGAAATGAAGTTAATACCAAAAGAACGTTATTCCTGCATGAGATTTTCCTTCGTCAGTGTAGAATTTGACTTATGTATTTCAGGTGCTCTTACTCCTGAGTTGTAGAGAAGGTCTGAAAGTGTTGGTATTGTAGTGAAGACCTTGTGTTTTGACCATTTCATGGTTTTGATCTACAGTGGTCTCCATGTCACACGGTGGTCGCGATTCCTCTGCTAATTGCATTCGAGCTTCTGCTTTGCACTTACCTTGATACTCTAGAAGGTAATCTGTAATTGTCTTGAGATAGTAGACCTGTTTTTGAATCGTCTGTGAGAAGTTGCTTTGAAACTAAATTGGTTGTAAATTGATGGATCGTACTCATGTGAGAATCTTTGGGCGGGAGGTCTCTAGCGACTTCAAGTGTCTTTTTAACCGTGGATTGTATTGGAGAAATCGTTTTTATTCTAAAATAGAGATAATAATGCCACTGTTGTTTGCAAGTCAGAAGAAGTGACGATGTTGACATTGTTTGCCGTGTTGTCGATGTATGGGATGTGTAGGACGGGATATGTCAGCTATTAGCTTGAAGATCGTCTTTCTTCCATTGCTCGCCTTCCAAGCCATCATCCTGATTGACAACTTTAGGTGCAATTCGCCTCTGTCTATTACTTCGGTTTAAATATGGTCTGTTTAGTTAGGGTTTGCACAACTATGAAATCAATATTTCTCCACATCAAAACGTTGTTCCCGGTGTAATCCGCGGGCAGTCGTCAATTCGTTGACGTTGCTGCTGCGAAGCTCATATTTTATGGTTGTAATTAGAAGTGATATTTTTAGCATTACTACTCAAAATGCTAAAAAGAATAACCAGAGGTGCTTAATGACTCGGTGAGCAGGATGTGCAGAGCACTTATGCCGGGTGATGAGGAGAGCATGACGGATGAAGCTATTTGGGAAACCCTTCCAGTTAGTTTCAGAACTCAAAGCTGTCGATGGATGCATTCTTATTTGTAGTCAAGCTGTTACGTATCTGTCTGTAAGGCATATTACATGTTTTAAGTGGTATAATTCACGTTGCTCAAATAAGTCTCGACTCGGATGTGGATTCGAAGTTGGTCCTTTTTAATATTTTTAGAAGTGCGGTTCCATGCTAGCTTGACCTTTCAGAAAAAGCAATTGTTAGGTGCAGAAATTGCAATTCCCATGCGTAACAAGGTTTAGCAAATGCTTGATTTATGTGCAGCATTTTTGGGTTGCAGTTTCCATGGTCTTCTTCATGGCGGCATCTATATTCACTCTCCTCAAACTTAGTGGTAATGTACTTACCACATGCTTTTGTTCAGCTCAAGATCATACTTCAGTGTTTTCCTTAACATCCACTGCCTCCAAACAGAATTGTAATCGATTTCAGGTGTGAGGAATGTTGAAGGAAGGTTTCGGTGTTTCATTTTACGTCTCTGAGATGATTGTATCATTGTTCATTTATGCGCAGGAGATGTGGAAGGTCTAGGTTGGTGGGACTTATTCATTAACTTTGGGTAGGACATCATATCTTTAATTCTAAGCCATGATTATTACAATATTGCATAAACTCATGCCTCTCTCACAATAAGTCTTACAACAAACATTAAGATTGAAATTACGATTGCTTGAAAACGCATCCTCAACACAAGTTCACAGCTGCAAGTTGCAGCTGAACCTGTTCGACATATGAATCAGCTCCAGTAGTTGTAGCCGTTTGCTAATTCTTATCCTTAAGCGCCTTAGGCTTTCATTTATTTGTTAACTTGAAATATATGATGCATTTACTGGGAAAAATTTCGGGTTGTTAGACGATACATTAAATTATTACAATAGTTTTATGTTGAATTGAAACAAATTCCTAGTAATCATAAAAAGTTCTTCGAGAAATAAGAAATTTGAAGAGCAGTGGAAGATAGGCTTTGGTTCAAGATTGTGAAGTTGAAATCTAGAAGGAATATGTTGTCAAAGGAATTTTGATAGGAAACAGGTCACAATGTGTCTGTAACCTGGACCCCTTGAGCTTGTAATTGCAGTAATATACTCGTACTTCGGGTATTTCTTGATAATCCACAGTGCATCAGGATGTAGACTCTCTCAATCCACAAGTCATTGAATAACCACAAATGCAAATGAAAATTTGAGGCATTGAATATTGAATTTGCCTGTTAAATGACCAGATTGGTAGTCATAGGCATTCAAGTGGTAAGCGCAATAGTATAGAAAATGGTAAATAACCGAGTGCTAATGTTTTGTTTTACTGTAATTGGAATGTCAGGAACTTAGGCCATGAACATTAAAGCTTTGCATGTTTTATTACTATTCTGATTTGGAAATCGTCATTGTTTTTTGTTTGCAGCATTGCTGAGTGTTTTGCATTTTTAGTATGCACCAAGTGGTCGAATCCTATTATACAACACGAAGGGTCTCTCCAGATAGGACCTGGGGGCCTTCCTACCTATGTTTCACAGCCCTCGTTCAGACCAACGGAGAGTGCAGATGATGGAAGCACATCTAGAACTGACGAGGATGACAGTGCGGACGGTATGTGTGGACGTCAAGATTTAGGCGGTCACTTACTCAAGATCCCCATTCTTCTATTTCAGATTTTACTGTGTATGAAGCTGGAGGTATGTCAACGATCTTCCTATTCTGTTATAGTTACACACTCGCCACTTGTTCATTAAGTGTGACTTCTTGGTTGAAGATCATCAACAGCTGTGATACTCAGATCTCTTTTCAGTTGCTTCTGAATACTACCAGCTTTGAGTGGATTTTTGAAGGTCATTGTATGAGCAGCACTCACCAAGTCTCACCATGAAAGCATATCTATACTCTTTTCTATTTTGAAGGCATGTGAAAATATTGGTCATTATAAATGCTGATTTGTATTGTATTGATATGTGTTTCTGCAGGGTACTCCAGAAAAGGCACGGGATATTCCTGTGATATTGCTGTTCTCACCATTGCTACTAGTTCAATGTATCGCTGTTTTCTGTGCGTTATTGAGGCTCCTGGAACAGATGTGGTTTATGTTTCGTCTTTCCGACAGTAATGGCTCCCGACAACTAGCCTATTTTGCAAAAGCAGATGATTGTTGCGGTTTCCTTCATCATGGGTCTCGGTAATCCTTCTTCCTATGACACTAGGGTTGTGGAGTACATGGCAGATGAAAAAACTCAATAAAATTATCATCATCTTGTAGTGACAAGTTGTAACATTTGAGCTCATTCTCTTGTGGCAAACTGCATCTACGTTTAGATAAGATTTCTATTATGAGGTCATTCGTTGCGGTTTTTCCCAAATGCATTATGTTGTATTTTAAGATGAAAAAAGGTGATTATAATTTAATGGTTGAAATCATTGCTGTTGGTCGTCTGCAGGTTTCTTGCTTGGTGGTCAATAGACGAGTCCAGCAGGGAAGAACATGCACGCCTGTATCAGTCAGAAGCCACAAGGTAATGAGTTGGTTTCATGTGAGGCATGTATGCGCAGTAGTGAAAGTGACCTGTGGGCTATTTTCATTTAAAAAAATTGTGTTTGTATTAAAATAAATGAATATCTTAGTTGTATTGCTGGAGTACATCTACACTTGATTTATTTGCTTCCCTAATATGTCTTCGGTTGTGTTTTAATTTTTTTCGAAATCAGCCAGAATAGGAAGGGAATTATTTTCCATATCAAGGTTTAGGAATGCCAAGTTCTTGAGATTGTCTAATGACATTGCAAATATATCTTGATGGCACAGTTACGATACTTTTCCTGGTTTCCCGCCAGAAGTGGTAAAGAAGATGGCTAGGAAAGACCTAACAGATGAGGTAATTTGGCCCTTTCTATTCCACATATTTCTGAATCTCGTATGCTGATTGTAAGGTTTTGTAGGTGTTTCACAAGTGATCCATAGCTGTATCATATGAAGGTAGCAGTTGGATTTAATATGCGGTTATAAATCGCGTACATTCATGTGTGGTTTTGTGTCCCAATTGTGCGTGTTGTTGTTTGCGTATGAAAGCTCAACTACCAGAGATGGCATGTAGTTTTTCTTTGCACAGTGCAGGAAGCTACCGTTTTTATTTTGACATTATTTAAGAATTGAAATGTCATGATGTAACTTATAGTGGAGATTGTTGCGACTCTTCTTGCGACTCATTCGTGCGACTGTAGGTTTGGAGATTGCAAGCAGCCTTGGTGGAGCAGACAGAAATAACCAAACATCAGCAGCAAGAATATGATCGCCTAAATAATGTTAGTAAATCCACTTTTGAAAGCTGCATGTTGCTGTGTGTAATCAAAATGCTCAAATAGAGCCATTTGGTGCTTCTTCATTAAGTTACTCATCACCGCTACATTGGCTTGCAGGAGAAAGTGCTGTGCCGAGTATGTTTTGAGAGGGACATTGCCGTAGTTCTCATACCTTGCCGACATCGTATTTTATGCAGGTGGGTTAGGTTGCTCAACAGCTTAACTTATTCTTTATGAACTTTACGTCTACAGGTATATTTTTCATCTGTCGTTGGGTCAGATTTGTGGTGTAAGTACCTATTATTTTGGTTATGCATTGACCATCACTAATACAACCTTACGTCTCTTTGTTTGCAGCTTCTGTTCGGAGAAGTGCAAGCACTGCCCAGTTTGTCGCAACACAATTCTGGAGCGGATGTCTGTGTTTGATGTGTGAATATTTTTAGTCGTGAGTCATCCACTCCTTGTGGAACGCATTTGAAAGTCTGGCAGAAGGTTAGAGTGCCTGGGTTCCCCTGTACATTTAGAAGCTTCTAAATCCTTAGAAGGATTGATCAAAAGTAGTCATGCCTTCGAAACTCAAATAGGTGTTAAACCAGTGTATTTGGAGCGGATTCACAAAGGGGTAGTAATGTCAAAGAGTAACATAATTGACCATTGATGATTAGGTGTAAAATATTCTATGTTAGGTTCATCAACTTTGCTGGCATGCTTTAGCAATGATTCAGAGGCTTGCAGCATTGTTAATATATTAGATCTTATACCGGTAACTTTCTGTGCCGAGTTCTGCCAAATTTTCTTTCTCTGTTTCATTGCAAATTTTGTATAACCGACACTAAAGTATTTTTCGAATCGTTAATAATAAAAGTTACCAAAGTTGTGACTCCTGAATGGAGTGACTGCATTATTTGCCATTCTAAACATTGTTATGTTGAGAATGGGTGTGGCAAGTAGAACAGTAGTGTAATTCAAAATAAAGTAGTCTTGCATAGATACTTGAATGTGTTCAATTTGATTATGTGATACATGCGTTTAAATGTTCATTAATTTTCAGAAACACATTATGTAAAAAAAATTTGGAAGTGTTGGGTAGTAGTAAAGGGCACAAAATGTGGTGATGATTTGGCACAATTGTTAAAGTATGATCTTTTATAGAGGTGTTGAATATTTAGGGCATGAATTTTTGAGGATTATTTATATGGAACAAGAAATAATTTTTTTAATATTTAAATGAAAAAGAAATGACGAAACAATAATATTCTATGTTATGTGAACATGTAAAAAATTGAGGTATGGTCCCCAAATAGATTTAGAGGATTTTAAAACAATATTATGTTGTTCAAACAAATTAAAAAATCTTCACATTTTCTTTTAAAACTTAGTATCTACAAGGAGAGAAGGAAGATAATAAAAGGCAAGTGATAACTATAAGCAACATTGTATAAACTTGTTAAGATGGCTCTAATAACAAAAGCTACAAAATTAAGTGAAAAGAGTATTAAATTCTTTTTTGCTTCTATTTACTAATTAATATTTGATCCTTAATTCTTGGTATTCATCAACAAAGAAAGAATTGATGACATACTCAACAAAAATAGATAAGGCTTTGATTTAAAAATATTATCTAACATTAAATTCAAGTAACATCAAATGGAATTTAATTTTGGTACCATTTTTCTTTTTTTCTTATTTTAAAAATTGGCAAGTCTTTTGGTTTGTGCCTTGTGTACATAAAGAAGTATTACTCATTTGATTTAACTAGCATGAAGAAATTGCAATAAACACATGCAACATATCCATTGTTTTATTTGCATGTTCAACAAACAAGAAATAATTCTATACAAATTGTTGGAAGTGTCCACAAGTTCAAAAGATCTAAGATTGAACTACATCTATTTTATGTAAACTAATATCTAGTCCTAGAAAATAAGAGCATTGATAAGCCTTCTTCCACAAACAAATTGTATTTCTAAGTGCCATACTATCATGGTTAAAAACAAATTCTATTTTATAGTTGTTGTTCTAAGGCTTGTGTTTTTAGGCTATCGAAATTTATATTTAAAGCATAAATATGGAATGAACTTCATACTGTGCATTAATTGAAAATGGTTAAATACTATGGAAAGTCGCATACAAAAAAATGGAAAAAGAACTAGACAACAAAAAAATTCTTTAGAAAATGGAACAAAAAGTAGATGGAAAAAAAACACAATTGACCCAAAATCCCATTTTATATTTAAGTAGAATTTGTAAAATTTTCAATGTAGTCTAATAATCTATAATAACTTAGATGTATAGCTTATATTAGAGTCTTAAATAAGTTCTTGTTGCTTGTACATTTGCTTTAGGAAAACATGTTAAAAAAAAATCTCTCTCTCTCTCTCTCTCTCTCTCTCTCTATATATATATATATATAATTATCTCAATTAATCAAAACATTGGGTATATCATATTTTGTATTAAAGAAGAAAAACAAAAAAAAAACATAAAAAAACAAAAGCATTGTTGGTTAATTATCACACTATCTTTTGCAAAGGAACTTACGGTCCCATTAGCTTTTCTGTTTTTTTCTATTTTTTCTCTTTGTTTTTGTTTTTCTTAACAGTGTAGAGGTGAAGAACTTTCAGCAAGTTTTCAACAGGCATGGTTGGAATTTTACAATTGGGATTTAAACTGGCCAACCTCATTACAACACTCTTAGAACTATTAGATCCAACTTGCCATCCTTTAGTATTTGAAATCCTTACAGTATATATCATTGGATTGTAATCTACCAAGGATGTTAAATACAAGAATTTAAGAATTGAAATGTATATTTTTATTTTTACTTCTCTTTTCTCTTTTTTAATTTTTATTCAAAATAATCTTGTCATGCCTTGGTCTAACTATTTTCAACTTAGCAATGATGTTGAATAATTTAAGACTTTAATTTATTAATTAAGATATTTATTTATTTTATTTACTTTATTCTTGAATTTATCATTACGAAATTTAATTTTACAATCCCCTCATTGTAAAAGTCAAGACAAGAAAATCCATAATCCACAAAAATCCAGGTAGCAGTCAATCTTTTTTTTTTATTATTATTAAATGTTTTTGAAAGTTTAATATAATAAATTTTGAGACCAATTACAATCAATCTATTTTCAGTTTGTATTTTTCATTATTAGAATTAAGTTCTAAATGGTTTTATATTATTTTAAATATTTAATAAAAAAATCAACACCTTAAAGTATAATATATATATATATCACTGCTTGATGGTTGAGCTACTTCTTATTCTACTACCAAAATGAATTTTTTGGCATTAAAACATATTCAGCCAATAAGATTGTTCAAACTGGGAAAACTCTTTAGCAATATAATTAGTAAATTTTTGGTAAAGTGGATAGTAAATGTGTATATATATATATATATATATATGTATAATCTACCCTGTTCAGAAACACATAGTTTGAGGTACTAGTAATAAAATATGTAACAGTTCTTAATTGTAAGAAAAACATAAAACATTCAAAGAATTTATTGAATCTTTCTATGAATTCATTAAATTTGATTATGATTTTTTTCAAATCACATCTATTTTAAAACCAGTTCATGAGGAACTCACTAAAAAAATTATATTTTTGTTGGATTAATTCTAAGAGTTAAAAAAGGGTGTATCTTCTCAATATGTTTCTCTCTCAAACGAATCAATTTTTTGCATATCTATACGTGCATGCGATTTTAAAAGTGTTTTTACAAAAATATTAGGCAAAATGTCAATAAAACTTTTAGTACTCTTCTAAAGAAGAAGTAGCACAAGGATAAATATAGGTTGACAAGAGAAAGTATAAAAATTGTTTCATGATTTTTTTCCAAAATATAGTCAAATTTATGTGTATATGTAATGATTATATGAAATGATTATACATTTAAGTTCATTGCTATTTGGTATTATATTTTATTCAAAGATAGAAACAAAAACTAAGTGAATAACAGTACTATATGTATGATCAATAAGTTTAAAATTTGAATCAAAATTTAAATTTAATATTCATTATACAAAACATACTACTGATGTAGAATATAAACTCTTTATATAGATGCAGAATATAAACTCATTTTTTCAATATAGACAGACATATAAAACAAAGTTTTGATATTTTTAAAAATAAATCAAAAATAGAATTACAAAAATAATTTTAACATTGTATATCAATTGATTAAAAAATATATATATGTCTTCAAAAAAATTATAGATATTAAAGTATTTGCTTTATCAAAAACAAATTTACATATAAAAATAGAATGTTACTAATACCACCACAATTTTTGCTACTACGACCACAACTTGCCATCCACTATACATCATTACAATTTTTGCTAATGTCACTAGAAGTTGCCTTAAACTTGCATTGCACACTATTATATACTTTATGCAATACAAAATTATACACTAATAAAGCATATGCACTTTTTTCATTGTAGTATGCATTAGAAATATTTTATAAAGTACATTGTGATATGCTATGCAAGTTTAATGCAGCTTCTAGTGGCATTAGTAAAAACTGTGATAACATGTTGTACATGATAAGTTATAATGACTATAGCAACACCCTATAAATATAATGGTATTTATATATTTTAAAGAATAATATAATTATTTATAATTATCTAATTATTAATGAAATAACTAATAATTATATCATAATATTTAAAATATAATAATTTAAAAAAAATAAAAATATATTCATATTTAGCTATCACAACTACTAATATTTATAAAATTAGAAATAAGTTAAAAAGACAATGTATTACCTATATCTATGATCTTGTAGGATTCTTAAAATATATATTATATTTTTAAAAAATCATATTTAAAATAATTTTAATGAGTAAAACTCTTATTAATTACAAATATATACTACAAAAATATTTCATTAATTGGTTTGCAAAGACTTTAAACTACCAAACAATAGAAGCTTGATATTATCAAATGTCAAGGCTATGATTCTTGAGAAAAGAAATCTTCAATATACTCTTGTATCACTTGAAAAGATTAAAAAATCTCTCAAAGATGGTAATATATTGAATTAAAATAGGTATTGCTAAAGATAAGAAGACTAGAAAGTCTTGAAACAAGATTAAAGATTAGAAAGGTATTAATAAGAATAAAGAAGGCTTTTGTCTTCCCTTCGTAAATACTATCTAATTAGGAGTTATGTGGTGATGTTCTATAAAACTTCTTAATACATGTTGACTTTGCAAGACATATATTTTAACTTGCAAGTTAAGTTTTTTATATGTGCACCACATAATTAATTTGTTTCACAAGCTATTAACACATGTGACACATGGTTAATTTGTTGACCAAGTTTCTAACCTATTAATCAACTACAAACATGTATAAAGTCAAAACCATATCTATGAAGTTATTCTAGAAGATGTAATGAAATTAATCTATTTTTATCTAATTCAACCTAATCATATAGGTAGTAATTGGAATAAATATATATTTCTATGATATTATCCTCCTTTTTAGGAACAAGGTCTACAAGAAGCAATCATCAACTTTTATAGATCTTGTTTTTTTTTATCTTAGTTTTGATGGATGTTGTCAATGAAAAGCCTCAATCTTCTTTGCTGTATTTACAAGATCTTTTGCTAGTTTCCATGTGTATTCACTAATATCATATCTGCACCAATGAGCAAGATATTTCAATCTATTTTAGCATTGCCTTGAATCTAAAACTTCTTCTACTTCAAACTTTTGATTATTATCTACTTTTATAGGAGGAGGTGGTATTTATCTTCTTTCCAAAACATTTATTGTCTTGTATGGGTCAAGAAGAGATACATAAAATACATGATGAATCTTCATAGACTCTAGTAGATGTAATTGATAAGCAATAAGATTGACTTATTCACAAATAGGAAAT